GGGGGGTTAATGCTATGGAAGTGGACAGGTGTGACAGGTACCCGGAGTCGTGGTCCCTTTGCCGGCGAATGGCACGGTCGCAGTAAATTCGCAAGCACAGGGCGATGAAAAATAAAGCCGACTGTGAGGTGCCAGAGAGCCGTCTGGACGTGTGCGACCGAGCTTAGGACCCCGAATATGCAAGTTTGACTTTCTGGCTGGCAATCTTAATTTTTTTATCTTTGTGGCTTTTTGGTCCTTTCGCTCTTAGCTCTTCCCTTCCCCCCGGGCGTCGAGGTGCCCGTCCCTTTGCCGCCCGCAGCCCAAAAAGCATAAAGCGAAAGTCATCGAAAACCCTCAAGAGTGCCCGGAGACAACGCTCCCACGGGCATTGCGGTGGTGGCCCGCCCCCGTCGCGACAATTCGACTCGGTCAGTCATCTGTCGGCCACTTTGCCGACCTTTGCCTGCTTGCGTGTTGGTTTGCATCAACACAAGTCTTCTGTTAAGCGCACGGGATGGCGTGAATAAATCATGACATCATACTTACAGGACGGGCGGATCCCCACTGACTGCATCGCGATCTCGACCCTGCCGCAAAGAAGGACTGCCCGCGAGAGGAAAACTGGGGCTTGTACTGCTACCTACACGGCCCGCCGCTCCTCTAAGCTACCGGCTGACGAAGTCCGCCGCCGGTGAAGCCGCTTGGGGCGCTTGCAGGGGTCGGTCAAGCAAGCTGCTCGCAAGGTACCGGTACCAGCAAATCCCTTGAGAACAGCGAACCCCTCGCCGACCCTTGGATCGCCCGTAAAAAAAAAAGTGAGCGCAGAGGGGAAGGAGAAAAAAAAAAGGTGTGCTGTGCGCCCACCCCGGCCCACTACCTGGCTGCCATCCCTGCATCCATGACTGCCCGGGCGGACAGGCTACCTGAAGCCCACTCGCATGGGGTTTCTACACTCCCAGACCCCCCAGTTGCCTTTTTTCTCTCCCCCATGCCCGGCTCACTCGTCACTGCGCCTGATAAGGTACATATCTGGCCCTCCCCCCGGGCTCGAATGTCCGTACCTGCTTGTCGAAATCATTTTTATGTTTAGGTGCACTGAACCCCCTTTTCCACTCCCGCCCTCTCTTTGCTTCCTGCTTCGTCGACCCTCGGCGCAGCTTCCCGTCTAGCCTGCCCACCAACGAGCACAACGCCGGCACAGCACAGCACATCACAACAGCACAGCTCAGCACACACAGCACAGCGCGCTGGCACAACGGAGCTCTCCCACACACCAAACTGCCCTCCTGAAACCAGATACATCATCTGTTAGTCGAGGTCAGACCTCGAGACCCAGCCACCACGCATAACGCAAAGAGATCCGCGCAGCGATCCACGAAGCAAAGATGCACGCCAGGGACGCGTCAGGCCGGCAGGTTTCGCTGCTAAACGACGACTCGAGCGCGCCCGCACATGACGTCTATTCAATGCCGCAGAGGTTATCCTACACCACCGCCAGCCACGTCGTCTCCCAGCCATTCTACCCCTCTCTGGCTAGGAGTGCCTCTTCATCTCCCAACGCGCCGCACCTGCTCCGCTCCGACTCGTACGACTCGCAGGCCAGCAGCGAGCCGCTGTCTCCGGTGACGCCCAACGTCATGTATGCCGACTACGGAGCCCACACGGCCGTCTACACGCCCGATACGCCGTACGACGACTACCTGCCCGACGCGCCGCAGGTGCAGGGTTTTAAGCGGCCCGCCGCCTTCGGGGCCGGCAGCAGGACTTCCTCGTACGAGGATGACTCGGCCGACAGCGCCGGGGCCGCCGCCCCGACGGACAGGTCCGGGAAGCGCTACCCATGCCGGTACCGCGACAGCCACGGCTGCGAGAAGACCTTCACAACCTCGGGCCATGCGTCACGGCACTCAAAGATCCACACTGCCGAGAAGGCCGTCCAGTGCACCCACCCCGGGTGCTCCAAAAAGTTCACGCGCGCCGACAACATGAAGCAGCACCTCGAGACCCACTACAAGGACAGGAGCCGGACGTCGGCCTCGAGGCCCTCGGTCGCCGCGCGCCGCTCGAGCTCCTCGAGCAAGCACGGGTCCGGCAGCGGCGGCCACAAGCGGGTCGACAGCAACACACCCCTGCCCTCGCCCGGGATCCCCGGAGGCGCCTGGGACATGAGGGGGTTGAACCTGCCGCTGCTGCACCGCCCAAGCCCCATAACCAACCCAAGCTGCGGGCTCGACGCCTTGGCCATGGCCATCGCTTGTCAGGAGGGCGCCTAGGTGCCTTTTGCGCCTTTTTTTTGCGTCTCTGCTTATGTCCATCCATGGCTTGTTGCAAGCGGCGGTTCAGCTGATTGGTTCCTCACCCCACCACCATCACCACCGCCGCCCTCCTACCTCCCGTCGCAGAACGAACCAAGGCAGACACATCTTCATCAACCGCAATCACAACCGCGACCACAACCGCAACTACAACCGCAACCTGCCATAATTTCCTATTTCCCAAGCCATTTTCTATCTCACGTGCCAACAACCTGATGATGGCAGCACTACACAGCGGATTTTCTACTCTACTTTCCTCTTATTCTTCCTCTGATTTCCACGCTACTTCACGGTACACGGCGTTCGCGCATGGCTCTCTGAGAGGGCCAGCAGGGAATGGATTGGCTTTTGGGGCAAAAACGGCTCTGGTGCACGCATACGATACGCACTTGGGCATAGAATACACGAGGACACTTGGGCAATAAGCACACATTGGGATGGTGCAACGGTTTTTATTTCTGCTTTTTTTCTCTCTCTGTTGGTGGCTCACCTGGCCTCTTCTTCTCTTCTCATGTTTCTTTTTCTTTTTCCCTTTTTTTTCTCTTCAACCTGTCGTATATGGGATTTTGGCTTCCTCACATTTCAGCATCATACCAAAGGATATACACGGCGCCTTTGACAAGTTTTAGTGGGGGTTATACCAAAAGGAAACGGGCACAGGTTGGGTCAAGGGACATATACACGGCGCCTTTGATTTTCCCACACCTCGGAAAGGGTGGAAGTTGGGGACGGCTGACGGGTTCTCTCGGAGCCGGGCACTTGCTAGGTGGGAGTGGATTTCGCCATCCATAGGATAGCTAGCTACCTAAGCATACATATCACCACGAGGCGGAGCTTTTGGAAGCGGGAATGAAAACTCATCTGTTCCCCATAGACCCTGGGCGATCCAGTCTGCTGATGCGATAGTGAATAAGCATGCGCGTGTGCCCCGCACGAACGCCCGTCGAGAGAGAGGGGAGGACGGGCATGAAGGGTAAGCCCTGCCGTCCGCGGCCGAGTGTAAATGCCTAGACGCCCCGAGTTCTGCTGCGTGTGCTGGCTGCTCCGAGCTTGCCGCCGGCTTACTTTGCCCACGATTGTGACTGCGACTTTGAATGTGACTGTGACTGGCCATCAGAGACCGGCCACCCGAGGAAATGAAAAAAAAAAAAAAAAAAAAAAAAAAGAAAACACGCGAAAAGCGAACAAAAACAACACACAATCCGAACCCCCCCTCCTCCCTCCCCATGCGCGTGTTCCCCGCACCGCAATGCACAGCCCGGCGTGAGGAGCAGCAACCCGCCTCCTCACCCAGGTGGTACCTACGGTAGGGCGGACGACCTTCCCCTCTTTTTTTCCTTTTTTTTTTTTTTTTTTTTCTCCCCCTCCCCCTCCCTGCAA